GTTTTCTTGTGCCATCTATTTTTGTTGCAGTTCTTGGCACAAATTGTTGAGAAATTGGAGGTGCTTATAAAGTCATTTACACATCTAGACAAAGAGTTTGCTCAGTCGAGGCAAATAACCAAATCACTCAAGTCTTTGAAAAGCATGGATGAAGTTCTACTTATGAAAAATGGATTAGATGGAGTTTCCGGAAACAGCATTCACATAAAAGCAAAACGCTCTTGGGCTACATTACATTCACTTCTTCATTCAAAGAGAGCTGCTTGTCGTCACAATGGCCATCTATGGTTGGGTGATCTGCTGATTGCAGAAATTACTGAGGGAAAGGATGAAAGTATATGGTCAAGCATCAGAAAATTGCAGCAGAAAGTTGAAGCCCTTGCCGATGTTAATGATTACTCACCCGATTTAGATATCCCTTTATCCATTTGGCTCATGTTTGGGATGCTGAAGTCAAAAAACAACCTTATTAGAATGGGATTCCTTTTTGTTTTAGAGAGGCTTCTCATGCGGTGTAAATTTTTGTTGGATGAGAGTGAAGTCCAACATGTGATCGGCGGTGACACTCTTGAAAATCTACATGACAAGAGCCGCCTTGAAAAAGCAAATGCAGTAATAGATATTATGAGTAGTGCATTGTCCCTGATGGCCCAGTTAAATGAAACAGACTGCATGAATATATTGAAGGTACTTCATTCTAGAGCTCTTTCTTTCGGAAACTATTTCATCACCAGCTGCTAATGAGGACCGGAATAACTAATGTGCTTGTGCATGAAGTTTCCATAAAATATTTCATTCGTTAGGTTAAATATTTTTTTTGAATGCATTCTTTAGGTTAACTATTGATGCAAATGTCTATGAGTAATATTGGATGCATGGCCTTTGGTGGTGATATCCCCGCAAGTTGAAGTTTGTCTCTTAGATTTCCATTGTACCTGACCTCAGAATTTCCTGGGCTTTCTGTTGCAATTGTCAGTAGTGACCTATAAAATGTATAGTAGAACAATTGTCATGGTTTCTTACCTTTTTGACAACCAATAATACCACGAACATCCTTTTTAGACTTATTAAGTACAAATCATATACATAAATGTATCATGTTGCCTGGAATGATGTGAGAACTGTATGTGCTTATGTTGTTCATATTGATGATAAGTTTACATCAAATATTGGCTTCAATTTTGCAGATGTGTGAAATTCTGCTGTCACAATTGTGCCTTAAAGTGCTTCCCTCTACATCTGGTGTTAAAGAGACCGGCTGGAGTAAGAAGGGTGATGCAGGGGAACTTCATTCTCAGCATCTTGAGGAACCTTTCAAAGAACCCAATACCAAATATGGAAAGAGTAAAGACCCGCAACTATGTGAAACTGCATCCATGTCAACACTGCTTCTTCATGGGCAAGCTGTTGCTCCTATGCAATTGGTTGGACGCGTTCCTACTGTTCTGTTTTATTGGCCACTAATTCAACTTGCTGGTGCTGCAACAGACAACATTGCATTAGGTGTTTCGGTTGGTAGTAAAGGAAGAGGAAATGTTCCTGGTGCCACTTCAGATATACGAGCTACACTATTATTACTTTTAATTGGTAAATGCACGGAAGATCCTGCAGCTTTCGAAGATGTTGGAGGAGAACCATTCTTTAGGTGATGTACTCTTCTGGTTTGAAGAAACTTTTACACACTCCCACGACTATTAGGCCACTCTTCCCTTTGGTCCTGGACTTGAAATTCTTTCCACTTTTGGTCCATGTCTATGGATACCTTGCAACTTCTGGTTATATCTACGTAATTCGTAGTCATGCACCTTAAGTGCAAAAATGGAAGTTAGGAACTTAAAGTGGGAAAGACCCTATAGTCGTGGCATCAACTATGAAACTTTTTCTGGTTATAATCAGAACCATCTTTGTTAGGTGGTTGTAGCTTGATCATTGAACTTTTTTGTGTATGGGTGTTTTTCAGAGCACTACTGGAAGATATAGATTCAAGAGTTGCATATTACTCTTCTACTTTCCTTCTAAAGGCAAGTGTTTTTCTTGCTTTAATGATATTGAGCTTTAGGGTTCAGAAATTACTCCGCAATTTATTATTACTTCACTTCTGATAGTAATAATGGTCAAATGTATCTTGCAGAAGAGGATGTCTGAAGAACCTGAAAGTTACCAGCGTTTGCTACATAATCTTGTTTCAAGAGCTCAGCAGGTAAGAACACCTTCAAATTACTATGTTCAACATAGTATCTCTGAATTTGAATATGATCAAATGGGATTGTGATGTTCTTTTTGCAGAGCAACAATGAAAAATTATTGGAGAATCCGTACCTCCAGATGCGGGGCATACTTCAACTATCAAGTGACTAATCCTATGTCTTTTCTCGCCTTCAACAATCTGCCAAGTGCCAACTGAAAATTATTGATGCATTTCAGTTGTAGTAATAGAAAAATTCCAGTGCTGGAAAATTCATGGCCAATGTGCAGTTCTTTATTCTATCAGGCTAAAATGAGGTTTGACCATTATGCAAAGCATACCCTTGATTCTGTCCACTGGAGATATGTTGAAGCCCATGGTGTTTTGTGGAAGTTGTGTCGGGAATTCTTGCCCAAGTACGTAGGAGGTGGTTAAGAAGCTCCATGCTTCACTCAAAGCATTTGAAGGCTGGTGGCATGTTTCAAGAGTGTGTAGGCGAAAAGATGACAAGGATGTTGGTTGACTTTCCCAAGGAAGTTCCAGCATCGAGCCATCTTCAGGTACTGATTACTCCAAATTTCATATAGTACTATATGCTTTTCTTTGAATTTTCAATTTCATGGTGTTTTTATCACTTTCTCCATTTCATGGTCTGCCATGTGTGTATGCAGACCTTTCCCGTACTCGAAAGTAAACAGACTGTTTCCAAGAGGCATAAAATAGCGTTGGAGATACATAAAACAGAGAAAACACAAAAAAATACAGCACCTAGAGGCAAAGAACAAATAACAAAGGAAAAGAATATTGCAAATAGAGAGCACCAGGCATACCAAGCACACAAGTAAAGAAAACTACCACCTAGCCCAAACCGCCTACACAACTAGTCTAATCTTAGCTATCCAAACGCTCCTATCTAAGTACAAAATCTTATACCTACCATGTAACCAAATTTCAGCTGCTACATAATGCACTTCAAAAAGAAAAATGCAAAACAAAGAACATCAAGGGTCCGTTTGGAACTTCAAAAATGCTGGGGAAAGAAAATAGAGGGAATTTTGGAATGAAAAGGACATGCTGAAAACAAAGCATTAGGTTCAAACTCAATAAATTTACCATAGTTATTCCTTCAAACTCATTTTATTTTTTTTATCTCTATGGTATAGACACCAAGAAATTTGTACATATGAAAAAGTTTTAAGCACATTTTTCATGTCATTTTCCTTTGTGTTTTTGAGGTAAATCCAAACAAGACAATAACTTGCCTTAATATTTCCCACTTCTCTTGTCATTTTGTCCTTGATCCATACATACCCCAAAGGTATCATGCGGATGAGAATATATCATGCACAACTAAAATTAATCACCCCCCACCCACCAAATGATGATCATGCCTAGTGATAGCACTAAATGTTTTCATGCTTTGAATGCCAGCAGGTAACTGTATATGACTGCATCAACTTTTAGATATGGTGAATATTGTACAGTACATACATCATCGAGGAGCATACATCCGTGTTTTTCTCCCCACGGAGGATGGAGGCCGCGATGGTGTTTGTGGAATTGTGTTTTACTTAAAGTAGAATAACTTAGGGATCCTTTGAGGATGGATTTTACTCCATCCAGATGCTGCAACAAAGTGATGCCATTTTTGTCCTCTCCAAACACTCCCTAACTTGTGGTAAATAGGTTCTCTTTTTATCTGCATCCAAACGCATTAAGCTTTGATTTTTTGTGAAGGTTTTTTTTTTAATTTTAAAGAAGTTATTGCCCTCCATACCTATTGTGTAGTAATGAAGGGCTATATATATATATATATATATATATATATATATATATATATATATATATATATATATATATATATATATATATATATTCTCATCATATAGAACTACAAATGAATTTTCAAGTGGCTATTTT